AATAAATGTTTATTGAGCAGCAAATCAGCATATCAGAATGATTTCTGAAGGATCATGTGAGACTGGAGTAATGATGCTGAAAATTCAGCTTTGATCACAGAAATAAATTACATTTTAAAATATATTGAAATAGAAAATGGTTATTTTGAATAGTAATAATATTCAATAATAATAAATATAATATATTATTATAATAATAATAATATTATTATTTTAATTTAAATAAATAAATGCATTAATGCAGCTTTGGTGAGTATACCGACTTTCTGCATTTATATTGTGGCAATACATATATTAAGCAATCATACCAATAAAAAACTTTGAAAGTGAAATTACTAAACAGCAAATGCATGCCAAAGCAAACATATAAGAACAAAATTATTCAACCGTGTCAAATCAGTGACAGCTTTATATGGCAATAAAGTCTGCTACAAGTTCCTAGATTTTAATAACCTGAGAGAAGTACCTTGTTGTTGTCAAGTTAGTGTGAGGCCACAGGAGAAATGAAACCTTATCTAGAAGTTTCAGAAATATACCAAGAGGCCATTCAAGGACATCTGCATCAAAGCTCCCATTGAGGTGAGGGACAGACGCTTCCTCTTAAGAGGATCCATGCAGGGTCTTTCATTCCTCATACATCCAATGCTTTCTAGAGCAATAAGTATGATCTACATGGAACAATTTTTGTTGTAATGATCTCTCTTAGGCTTCCTGCTTGTTACCTTTTCTTGTTAGTGAAAAACTAAATCATTGTAAAAAGAAAGCTTTTTAACAGACTACCATTTCTACCCCTGTTGGAATTTAAAGATAAACAAATTATAAAAATGGATAAACATTGTGCAAACTGAATCTGTGCAGACTGACTCAAAGTCATGGACAATAATCTCTTAATAAAATGCTTAATGTCTGCAAAATCATTCTGAAATAATGTATTCTTGATAATATAGGTATTATTTTTATATTAGTATTATTTCATATTTTTTACAATTAACTAGTTTCTCCAATGGAACTAAATGGACAATTGTGATTATTATGACGTTCTAACAATAGTCACACAACAGCAGCATATCAAGTATTCCTTTTTCATAGTAACCTTTCTTAAAACAAATAACTTGCAAATTGCATTTACATTAAATGTGAAAATACTAGCCATGTTCTTGCAGGTCTCTGGCATAATCACAGCTAAGCATCTCATCTAATCAAAGTCTTTCAGTAAGTACCTGTACAAGTCACTGCAGTGCACGGCTAGACCAAGTGAACCAGGGTCATCTCACGGCCATGTAGGCCATTATTAATGTGTCTTCATTTCATTTTAAACAAGATCACATTTAAATAATTCCTGATATATTTTGTCATGCCTAATTTAAAAATGGTAAGCAGTAACACTACTAATAGTGACAAATTTCATTATTATATTGGAGAGTATATTATTTATTCTTAAATAAATAAATATATATATTTATTTATTTATATTATAATTTATGACATTTCAAAAAAGGCCCTCAAGTGAAATTTCACGAAATTGCAGCATGCTGACCCCATGCTGCAATTTCATGTTTTGAAAATATTATATATTGAATTAATTTATCATTTAAAGTGTTGGTACATTTTACAGAAAAAAACAACAACATGATGCTTATTTTTTACTAGGCTCCAGTAAAAAACAAAAAGCTTCAAGACAATTTGAAACAGTGTTGTTACTGTTAATTAAAACTAAAACTATTAAATAATAGTTTTTGTTAATTCAAGTAAAGCTAAAACTAAAATATAAATATTAGATAAAAAAAAACATAGTTAATTTCAGTGAATTGCCAAGGCAAAATTTAGAATTTTTGTTTAAGCTGAAGTAAAATGACTAAAACTGAAGCAAAATAAAAACAAAGGTAAATAGAAATATTTAAAAAAAAAGAATGAAATTACAAATTCACATAACAAAAATACTCAAACTAAAATAAAAATAATAATTTAATTCAAAATATGAATAAATACTATAATATAAATAACAAATAACACTGATCTGAAGGTGTCACAATCATATATTCATGCTATTAAAAGACACTTACAAATGTATACAAATGTTGATGTGATGATGTAAAGCATCCTAAGGGTATGTTTAAGCATGTTTAACATACAGAGGTTAATCTTGTTTAATGATAGGCTATACTTGATTATAAAATTCATCTTAATTTACCTTCTGATAACCACTTCGGGCCGAAGATAAAAGAATGATAGCAGATTTGAAGTTATTCAAATATAAAATAAAAATAATATAAAAAAATTTTCAACGGCATTTAAAACAAACAAAAAAAAAAACCTGTTGCTCTAAATGGCAGTTCAAAAATCTTCAGAAGTTTAAAAATGAGACTTACCCATGGGAAAAGAGAGTCGGGGGAGGACATGAGAATGACAGCTGAGGACAGTCAGAAGAGACAGAAAGGCACAGAGTGATGCTGAATGCACCATCCTGATGGAAAACCAGGAGGCCGCTGAGCACAACAGATGAGCTGAAACCAAAGACCAGTCTATCTGTCGCTGTCGGGTTCTGCTCTTGTCCTTTCAGCACTGAGTAGCCCACAGGTACACCACTTCAAACTGCCAAAGGAGTCTGCCGTCATCTCATCTGCTCAGAAAAATTAAGAGCGGGTTAGAAATCGTTAGGCGAGTCCTTCAAGTCATCACTTCCTCTGAAGTCACCTCTTCCTCTTTCAGAATTTTTGCATGAGCTTAAGTAAGTCAAGAGATGACATACATCAGCACATGACTTCATTAGTGACTGGGGGAGGGAATTTAAGTTCCATTTTTACATTCTTATTTTTTAAAAAGAGACTAACCATCTAGAGAAAGTCAGTGCAATGATAAATTGTAATGTGACCATGAAAAGTGCGTAGTGCAATTTAACTTCCATTTAATATAGCCATATATCTACATATTTACACTATATAATAAAAAGAACTTTACAGTGGATCAGAAACTGGGTGCTAATTTAGCTATGGAGCAAACATGGAGTGGGGTTTCTCTCATCAGTGAGTGTGGAGCAGAAAATGGAAACTCAATGAAGCTGGAGGGTTTTCAGGATAAAGCATGTTGAATCATGTCTGATCTAATGACTATATGATGGAAATCCCTGTGAGCCAAAAACAGAAACATGGTGACTGGTGTCTTGTGCTTTAACCAAGATTTACTAAACACTTGTTGACGTGAAGTGCTCTCTTGACCATCATGCATTTATACAGGGACCGATGATCCTGATCAATAATTTACTTGAATAAATCTTATTTCAGAAGAATGTTTTTTTTACTTTCTATAGTTAAAATTATTTTTAATATTTTTGAGAGTATAAAATCTCAGGGTGACAGGTAAACTATAATAATATTACTTCTTATTTGATGGTTACACCATGTGACAAAAAAAAGTTTACAAAAAAAGTTTTGTAAAACCATATTAAACCAACATTAATAAAATAAATATAAAAATATAAAATATTTATAATAAAATAAATATAAAAATATAAAAAAGAATGGCAGATATTTAGGCCAAAGTGAATGTAGATAAAAATCGTAGTCATTATTAAAAAATAAGAACAAAGATACACATAACAAATACACATAATAAAACAAACAGTGCTTTATTTTTTTTAGGTACAGTAGGTGCATTTACCAGTAGCATTCAAGAAATTGAATGAACATATATAAAAATAAAACTATATACACTTCACTGCATAAATGATACACTGATTCTTATTAAAGCAACTGTATTAAAGTTCTTCAGTCAAGAGCAGTGAGTGATTTTTCTCTTTGTGT